CCTAAACCCTAAACTCCTAAACCCCCGTTGCACTATAGTTACCCCTACTTAAAACTGGCCATGAACCTCACAAGCGGGCCTGGGCCGGCAGCAGGCATCTCCGGGCCCGGAGAGCCAGATCCTCAGGGTTTTAGGGGTTTTAGGGTTTGTTAGGGTTTCGGGTTTAGGGTTTAGGGTGTAGGGTTTAGGGGTTTTAGGGGTTTTAGGGTTTGTTAGGGTTTCGGGCTTAGGGTTTAGGGGTTTTAGAGGTTTAGGGTTTAGGATGGTTTAGGGTGTTTGGGGTTTAGGGTTTAGGATTTAAACCTGTTTAGGGTTTTTGGCATTTAAGGGTTTTGAACAAAGGGGGGGTTGGATGTTTTTTGGATTCGGGACCCGGGTGCAAGCCCCAAAGACGATCTGCAACTTCCAGTTTCCTTAAGCCCTAAACCCAAAGACTATTTTAGGGGCTGTGACACCTCCATCAGGACGGCTCCCCTAGACTCTAAAACCTAAGCTCATACGTTCAATTTGGCTGTACGGCAAGTCCGAAAGCGTCAGAGGAAGCTTATGGAGAGTTCCATGTCCGATCTCTACTTTTTAGGGCTTAGGGTTTAGGGCTTGGGGGTTTGAGTGTAGGGTTTGCGGTTTGCGGGTTTGGGGCTTTGGGGTTTTAGAGTTTATGGGTTTAGGGGTTAGGGTGCAGGTTTGCCTCGGCCCGTTTAGAAAACTCGTGGTAGCTCTTGCGAAAGGCTGGGGCACCAGCGGAAAAAAGCTTCACGGGAGGCAGTTCCGAGACAAACTAGCTGCGAGTGCAGGAATTGAAAGACAAATCTGTGACTTAAAGCGTAAGCCCTAAACCCTAAACCCCTAAACCCTAAACCTGCACAGGATCCCACATCCCTAAACCCTTGTATTTCAATTTGCAGCGCCTGCAGCAGCCCGGCGGATGGAACCTGGCAAAAACAGCATTTACATGGCATTGGGGCACTTTTCAAGGTGCAGGGCTTAGGTAGGTTTAGGGTTTAGGGTTTAGTATGCAAGGTGCAGGGCTTAGGGTCTAGGGTTTTGCGTGCAGCGCTTACGGGGCTCACAGGTGTTAATAAGGACGAACGGCTGCATGTATGTCATTACCCCGCACGACGACTGCGCTGCAAGTTACCATAAACCCCAAACCCTAAACCCCCAAAATCCTAAACCCTAAACCCCAAACCCTGCAAAATACCCTAAACCCCAAACCCCAAACCCCAAACCCTAAACCCCCCGAAATCCAGATCCTCAACCCCAAACCTCGAACCCAGAACGGTCAAAAGGCTCCTAAAAGGCGTTCTTTAATGGTTAGGTCAGGGGTTCTAATTGTAATAATATACTACAACTAGAAAAAAGGAATCAAACATCATAGATGTTGGTTCTTCTTCAGGCATCTACAGCTAGAGGGCTCAAAATTAATTTTGAGCCCAGTGCTGCTCCCGCCCCGCCTATCCTCTTAAGGGGCTTAGAGCTTTGGGCTTTGGATTTTGGGGCTGGGGTTTATACAGTCTGCTAACCCCAAACCCTAAACCCGAAACCCTAGACTCCTAACCCCGAAACCCTACACCGCAAACCCCAAACCAAAACCCGTAAGGTTGAGAACTCTTTGGCTCAGGGGTTTCGCGGCTCCGGAGTTCGAGGTTTAGGGCTTACGGCGTTTATGTGGGGTTAAGATCGGGTTACTTACCTACTTACTTACTTACTTACTTACTTACTTACTTACTTCCTTACTCATATATATATATATATAGGTTGTATAGGGTTCTGGATCGAATCGGGCCATTGAGTCCGATATAGCCGGCAATCCCAGTGCCATTTGATAGGCACGCTCGTCGCTGGAGCCATAGCAGGAAGCTTTGGATCTCCGCGGCACCGCCGCCTCAGGAGACAACGAGCTCGAGACGAGGCTCGCATCCACCGAGCTCGTGCAGCGGGCGAACTTCAGTCAATGGGCCGCGGCAGTGCTAACCAAGGAGCATGGCAAGGAGCAAACTACGGATATGGTGGTGGATGGCAGTCCTCTCAGGAGTACTGGGCCTGGCAAGGCCAAAGGAACGGGGAAAAGCACGCAGAGATCCGCAGTTCCCGGCCTACGATGGTGAGCGACGACAAGAACAAGGACAAGGATCGGTCCAGGCCGGGGCCAGCAAGCAGTACTGTAGATGGCGAGGAGGAGCGATCGGTGACGGTTGGCTTCTTGAAGGTCATGCAAAGGCTGGTGAATGGCTTCAGGAAGGCGGAAACTCGACTCCGCCGTGTGGAGGCGGAAAGAAGCGAGGCGGAGGGAAAGTGGCAGAAGTTCCAGGAGGGCCTCAAGCAGCCTTTCCCCAAGGAACGAGGAAGATACAAGGAGCAGATGAAGAAGCAGCAGCAAGAAACAACGGAGCAGCAGAAGCTGCGAATGGCTGCCATTGGAGATCTTCAATGGCTGCTTGCAGATCCTCGGCCGCCGTCAGGCTGTCGAAGAGTTCAACCATGCCCCGACCCAGCAAGTACAGGACCCCACTGCGACGGAGGCTGCAGAGCAGTGGGCTGATGCGCAGAAGCGGGCGCACCGCGACTTGTGTGACTTCCTTGGGAGTCAAATCAGCTGGGATGGAGAGGAAACAGCGAGAGCGGGCTTGTACGCAGCGTTCGCTATGTGGAGCATGAGATCCTCGACCGGGTTGCGGAGGACATCCTCCTGTTGTGGAACACGGACCCGGATGATCCATGGGAGCGAAGGACTTTCCACATGCTCGTGCAGCTCTTGGACAAGATCGAGGAATGGCCTTGCCCTTCTGTTGATGTCAAGCTACTGAGAGGGAGAAGATGTCACTGGCCAAGTTTGCCAGCACCAGTGACCCGATCCAATGGAGCAGTATGTTCCAGTTGTGTTGGACGAAATGCCGGACCCCAGCACATGCTCTTTTTGTACTGGCTTCTGACCTAGAAGCTTCGGAAATGGAGCTCGAAGCCGCGTTTGATGATCCACTCTGCTTCATTCCTGGAAAGGTGAGGGTGTTGTGGGACGGTGTGCTCAAAGGGGCAACACGGTCTATCGGAGTCTATCGCAGCCCCTAAACCCTAAACGCTGAACCCTAAACCCTAATTTCTGGGCAAGTCCCCTTTGAGCCAGTCTTGGAAGGCTTGAGGGCCTTTACAACTTAATCAGAGCCGCGCACACCTCCGAACGCCTCGCAACGCCGAAAAATAGGTTGTATATATGGGCAATGAAGTTTCCATATAGGGCTTAGATAGGTTTGTTTGTGGGGTTTAGATGTTTATTTTTGGCTCAAGGTTTACTTGGCGTAAGGTTTGGCCTTTGCTGTGGTCTGAAGCCGGCTCCGGATTGATATTGTTCGGGGGTCTAGGATTTAAGGACAACGGGGAGCCCTGAACCCTAAACCCTAAACACTGAACCCTAAACCCTAAACCCTAAACCCTGAAGCCCAAGAACTGAACCCTCAACCCTGAAGCCCTAAACCCCCGAACCCAAAAACCCTAAAGCCTGAAGCCGAAACCCTAAACCCTAAAACCCCTGAAGCCCCACACCCTGAACTCCAAACACCCCCAAACCCCCAAAACCCTTCCTAAACCAACACCCCCAAACCCCCAAAACCCTTCCTAAACCCTAAACCCTAAACCCTAAACCCCTAAACCCTAAACCCTAGACCCTAAACCCCTAAACCCCAAACCCCTAAACCCAAACCACTAAACCCTCAACCCTCAACCCTAAACCCTAAA